TCCCATTTCTTCCCCTTTCAATGCTTAGAACCCTCACACTTTCTGGTCCTCTGCTATCCTAGGGGAAAGAGGCATTAACTTGCTCACCATGAATGAAGGGTGGAGATCTTATTGACCCATATCAAAAAAGAGCTGAGATCTGGGGCACAATGGATAGAAGACCAGCCCCGGAGTTTAAATCCGGCTTCAGACACTTGACACTTACTAAGCTGTGGAACCCTGGGCAAGTCACTTAACCCCAACTGCCTCACCAAATAAGCAAAAAATAAAATAAAATAAAAAATAAAAATAAGAGCTAAGATCATTTGAATATTTAGTATTTAATTCTGTCTCCCCTCAAAATTACTTATATTGTATCTGTGTACATATTGCTTAATAACCCTTCTGTAAGCTCTTTAAGGGAAAGGACTGTTTTATAGGTGTTTTCTTAACCCCAGCACTATCCATCCCAGTGGCTGACACAAAGCAGATACTTAACACAGGTTTGTTGAATTGAATTCAACAACCCCATAATATGCATTTTTAAATCAGAGCTAAAGAAACAGTGTGGTGGAATCTCAGAGTACAACTAGCAAGTAGGGAAAGAATTCTTGGGCATAGACTTTTCTTCCTCTCCCTGATACTGTTATCATTCCAACCCATTTCTACAGACAATAGACAGTAGACCAGGAAGAGAACTATCAGGAAACCTGGGTTCTGGTATGGCTCTGCTGGTACCCTGCTATGTGACTTTGGGTAAGTCACTTGTCCCTTTACTGAGCCATCAGTGAAGTGGTAGGATTGGAAGATAGTATCTGTAAGGTCTAACACCTCTGTCATATGCTGGCTGTATGACCCTGGACTAGTCAGTGCCCTGGTTCTGATATCTATGTTTCTATGATTCCCCAAGTGACCCTTGTGTAATACCCTTCCTGAGCTCGAGTCTACAGTAGCAATGGCACCTTACTGCCCAACATATTCCATCTAAATTCTCAGCCAAATCCTCTACCGCCAGGCTCTTATCTTTTTCACCCCTCCTTTCATCATTCCCACACCCGGGTTCAGTGCAACGGAGATAATCCCACATCACTTCATTCCCACACAGTGTGTTCATTCTCTCTTGTGTGCCTCTTTCATGTACCTGTCTTCCCCCAGGAATTCCTTACCTTCTCTCCTTACTTTTTATTTCTCCTCCTTGGTCCCGTCTGATGTCCACAAATACTTTCTTCCACTTTTCCTCTTTTTCCCCAAAAACTCAAGATCTACCCCGCCTATAAAACTGACCTAAAACTCACCTGTTGGAGCCCTCCCTGACTTTAGGGGATCCTTTTGCCCTTTGCTCAGGGGCCCTCAGCTTTCTGGAAATGCTGACCGCATACCGACACTGCCCCCCTCCCATTAAATGCCAGTAGGTATAGGATAGAGTAGCCAGCTCCTTTGGAGCCACCCAGTCTCCTCACCATTTACTTCAACCTTGCCCCAGCCTGAGGCCTTACAGTAAAAGTTGTTGGATACGCGGATATGTTGGATCCGGCCAATGCCGAGTAGATGAGCTAGATCCAAGGAGAAAGCATTACTGGCCTTTCCAGCTTCAACAGGACAACCCATCCGGCGGGTGAGGGATATCACTTATACTGGAGACATATGCGGACAGCCTCAACAGACATTGTGACAGACCCCTCGCAGTCCAGCCAGAGCTGCTCCTCCCCCCAGTTTCACCTTGTAGGATACAGGATCTTGGGAGCCGCAGAGAGAAAGGAACAGACAAACATATTCGGGACACAGAGGCAGCTGAATGTGGGGAGTGGCCTCACATGCCCAGTTCCACGCAGGCAGAGGGCACCAGGGTCCAGCAAGGTCACTTCCTCACAGGCAGGTGCTAAACTCAGAATGTAAGTTCCTTGAGGGAAAGAACCATTTCATTTTTGGTTTTGTATCCAGTGCCTAGCACAGGACTTGGTACACAATAGGTGCTTAATAAAGTCATACACACCAGCAATCTAAGTCCAGAAAGAAGATTTATGATTCAACACATTACATAGAGGCCTGGAAAATACTGGTACTCAGAGTAACAGCCTCAAGTTTGAGAGGGCTCTTGGCCCTGATTTACTGATCATGACAGCTACTATAAGGTTGAAAAGGCTAGACCAGAACCCTGGGCAGGAGGGGGGGGATGAGGGGGGAGGGAGAGAAATCTACCTTAGAATCAACCAGTTTAGAGCTGTCCAAGTCAGTCGTGTCTGTTCCACCTGTGTTTATGTGTGCATGCATATGCATACATACACACAGATTTATATATATAATTTAAATATGTCCGAAGAGCTATGATTTCATCACTCCCAATGGGTGCCGTCGGGTGAAGCAGACTATGACTTTACCATGCCTTAATCTTTGCGAGTCAGTGAGAAATCAAAAATTCATCACCTGGGTGCCCAAGTTGCTGGGTATGAGACTTCAAACTTATCTTGGTTCTTAAACAACAGATATAATCCCTCACCAGACCACACTTGAAGCCTTTCAGGTTTGGTGGGACCTGCTATCTATTTTATCTTTTGTAATTGCCTTTATCCTTTATTTGGTTAGGAATATACCACTTGATTATAGGTGTGAAATGTATATGACCTACCTTCTGTATTATAGTCAATCCATCCATAAATCAATAAGACTTTATTATACATTTATCATTTATTCTGTGTTGGGTACTCTGTGTGTGTGTGTGTGTGTGTGTGTGTGTGTGTGTGTGTGTGTGTGTGTGTGTGTGTGTGTAGAGGCAAAAAAGAGTCTAATACATGACCTTTGCTTTTCAGGAGGTTACTGGTTAGTTTGAGACCCGGTTAACCATGAAACAATTAGAGAGCATAAAAGACTGTAAGCATAGGCTGAAGGGTGTGTATCTGAGACTCTTAAGAGCTCAGAGAAGGGAAGAAACAAGAAGGGCTGGAGTAAGTAGAAAGAATTAGGACTTGGGTTAGCTAGGCCCTGAAGGATGGATAAGACCTCAGAAGTGAAGAGGAGAAAGAGCCCAGTAGAGAGAGCGCCTGCTGTGTGAAATGAAGGGGAGTTCTATGATCCGAGATCCCCCAGACATGATTCCTGGGCTGGCATGAATCCTGTATATATTCTTTAGGTGTTTAAATGGGTGAGGCCTGTGCCTCTGTTCACAGCTATGCCAAGCAGTTCCTCTCCAGAGCCCTGCTCCCCAGTCCCCCAGCAGGGAGGGCCAGAAAGGCAGCAGCAAGCTCATAATCTTACCAGGGGTCTATGTAGAATTCAGCTTCCAGCAAGGCCTGTATCTATGCACAGAGGTGTAGCCCCCTTCCTGTGACCACCCACTCTGAGGCAAAGTCCAGACTGGGAAACTGGGACCTTGGGAGAAGGCAGAAGGTTGTTTTTTTCTTTTTTCCCTATTTGCAGACACAAAGGGGAAGATGAAGCTGAGGGTCTGAAATGTTTTCGGTTTCCTGGAAAAAAAAACAAACCCTTTACAGATTCGGCCCTGTCCCTTTTGCTTCTTTGAAACCCCTGGCTATCAATGCTAAGGTTCCCAAATAAACCTGAGTCCTGAGAACTTTTAGCAAGGGTTCACAGGGACAAAAAACAAAAACAAAAACTGACAATGGGAAACGGAGGCATGAAGAACTGGGGTTAAAAGGCACTGATATCACGTTTCTGAGAGAGAGGAGACTTGGCTGCTGTCCGGCGAGAGGTTTATAAATTCTAAGAGCCAAACATGGTCTGCATGAACTACACCCCAGGGTACAGAAAGAACTTATGGATGTGACTGCTGGGCTGCCGTCAGCAATCTCTGAAAAACTGAAGAGTAGATAGGATCTCAGGACTGGAAGCAGGCAGGTTTTTAAAGGAAGAAAAAAAGTTGATTCTTTCAACTACAAACCTGTGATCATTACAATTTCTGACAAACCTTCTAAAGTAAAAAATTAAAGCAAGATTAATTGAAAGGAAGACAATCTGGGAAAAAAAATCTTTGTAATGAATCTCAGTTAAGGGTCTATATATAAAAGATAAATAGACAACCAACATACTGCTTTCATAATAACACCAGAATGTTTAAATTCCTAATACAATAAATATCAACACATAAAATTCACGCAAAGTTTCTTTGGAGGTCCTCAATTTTTATGTGTTAAAAAGGAACAGAGACCAAAAAGTCTAACTACTAAACTACTAAAAAACTAAAGAACTACTAAAAAAAAGTGAACCGAGAACGAATAGTTCTCAGAACAAGAATGGCAAACTATGAACCATAAGGAAGAATTCTCCAAATCCCTTAAATAAGAGCTATACAAATCAAAATGACCCTAACGTTTCGTATCACACTCAGCAAACTGACAAAGATAACAACAAAAGATGGGAACAGTCAATGTTGGAGGAGCCGTGGAAAGATAGGCACATATCTGTGGAGCTATGAATTAGTAAAAACCACTCTGGAAAGCAATTTGAAATTATGTAATTGAAGTGGCTAAACTGTCTATACCCTTTGACCTTAAGATTTCACTCTTGGCATATACCTCCCCACAAAGAGTTATTAGTAAAAAGAAAGGATCCATATTCACAAAAATATAGCAGCTGTCCCCCATGCCAGGAACGTTCTCCTTCCTCATCTATACCTCTTGGCTTCCTTAGCTACCTTCAAGTCCAGCTAAAATCCCTCTTTCTAAAAGAAGCCTTTCCCAGTCTCCCTTAATGCTAGTGACTTCCCTGAGCTGATTATCTCCAATTTATCCTGTATCTATTTTTTGTACAAAAAATTTTGCATGCTGTCTCCCCCATTAGACTATGAGGGTTCTTGAGATCAAGGGCTGTTTGCATAGTGCCTGGCACACAACAGGCCCTTACTAGATGTCTAATAACAGCTTACTGACTGGCTGCCAAAGAACTAGAAGCAATACATGTCCATCTATTAGGGAATAGCTAAACAAATTGTGGTACTGGAATGTTATAGAACAGTACAATGCTGTAAGAAATAAATATGATGACTACAGAGAGACACAACTGGAGACTTTTTCATAAGGATAATGTTTATTTTGATGTCCCCTCCCAAAGTAATCTCCCCACACTTTGAGACAATTATATATCATAATACATCTGTTAAACCCAACACAGAATTTACATTGTTATCAATTAGTCATTCATAGCTGTAAAGGTGTTTTTTTTTTTTAGGATTTACCTGTTGAAGTTCTCTTTCTGAGTTGGTGTGCATATCAAAGTCCTTGAAGAGGGCTTACTCCTGTAGAAATTCTTATAACAACCACGGGAGTTCCAAATGCCCATTTTTAGAGAAAAGTATTAAATAGTATATAGAATTTAGCAGAAGAGTACAATAGCTGTTGGGATGAAGTCCAATTTTCCTTAATTTTTTTATAGATCATATTGAAATTCTGTCTTTTCTCATCTTAGGTGAAAAACTCAAATTGCTGCTCTTTGAAGGTGAGTTTTTTCTACTTATTTGCTTGTAGAGTCACGTTATTCCTGTAGCTCTATAATTAACAATAATAGATCTGTGTGAGTTGAATCTGGGATTGGTTATTGTTAGCATCCAGTGGATTCTGGTGATATGCAGTCTGTCCCATATCCAATAATTCTGAAAATTTTTCTTATGCAACTTCTTTTCTTCATGTATTTTGGAGAGTACAAATGAATGACTAGAAGACTCCATGGTCCCGCTCTCCTAAGCATGTCAGCTGTTACACACTGCTGGGTAAGGTTAAACCTTAATTGCACTCATTTCTAGTCAGTACTGGCTGCAGAAGCTCTCCCACAAACCTGCTGATACAACACAGCTAGAATTCTACCTTCCTCATCCTGAGTTAGCCTTCCCAGTTAATTTTTAGAAACCCTACTTTAGATGCTAGTCCATGTTCCCTGACCCTATCACCCCACCAGCAACGTGACAACTGCCAAAGCAAGCACTTTGTCTGAAGACTCCATGTAAACCCAGGGCCCTAAAAGTGCCATGCCTTTGAGCAGAACCCAAATCCCTCTGCTTATCTGAGCTACCATCCACCATGCTGCCCATGGCTTAAGATGGAGGGGGTGAGGGAGCCAGCCCCCATGGGACTGAATGCTATCTACCCACACTCTTCTCTGCTGAACTTTACTGTATCATAAACCATTTTGACCCATCCAACTTTAATTCATTTGCCACACTCTACCCTAAATTTCCATGACAACAATGATTCTTGAATTACCTAAGCTCCATCCTCCTCCAGTTCTGCAATCTATTTGTAAAGTTGTAAATGAGTCTCATAAGACAAGAGCAAATGTTCCCAATTTTCAAAAAAAAGAGATGAGATTGGAGTCTGCAAGAACAGGACAGAGAGCTTGACTTTTTTTCTTAACAATATTCTAAAACACTATTAAAGAGATAGTTCACAAGCACGGATAACAAGAAAAAGAGATTACTAAAAGCCAGCAACAGCTTTATCAAGAATAAAGAATGGAATCTTGCCAGCCTAAACTCACTGCATCTACTGAAGGTAATTAGACTGGTAGATCAGGGGAATGATGTAGATACAGTTTATCAGAAGTGCTAGATTTGAACAAAGCATTTAGCAAAGGTTCTCACATTATCTTTAGGGACAAGATGGAGAGGTATGGGCTATGTAACAGTACAGGTAAGTGGGTCTGAACAAACCCAAAAAAATAGTCACCAATGGAGCATCACTTCAAAGAGGATCTCCAGTGGACTGTCTCAGCTACCTGTCCTTGACCCTAAGCTCTTCAATATTTCATCAATAACTTGTAAGAAGGCAAAGAAGGTATGTTTGTCACATGGCATAAAGTTCAGAAGAACAGCTAACCTGTTGGATGACAGATTCAGTTTACAAAAAGACCTTTGACAAGACAAATGATGGCTTAAGTCAAATAAGATGAAACTTCATACACATCAAAATAAAGTTCTATACTTTGTTCAAAACCACCAATTTTTCAAGTAGAGGACAGGTAAGCATCAGTTCTCACACACATACACACAAATCTGGAGGTTCCAGTGGACCATAAGTCCAATAAGAGTCGGCACTGTGACAACAGTCAAAAAAACCAATGCTATACTAAGCTTCACTGACAGGATCAGTGTCAATCCAGACAGTAAAAGTTCTGCTGCCCTCGGCTTTAAATGGACCACATCTGGAGTATTATGTTTAATTCTAGATGCCAGCACAGCTTTATCAAAGATAAAAGAATGAAGTCTTGCCAGCCTAAGCACCTCTAATGAAGCCTGCCTCTAATGAAACAAGGAGACACAATAGGTTTTGAAGACATTGACAAGATGTGGCATATCCACAAGAGGGCACCCAAGATCAAAAACTGGAGAAGATGCCCAAGAGGATTTGTTGAAGTAACGGTAATTGTCAAGTATCTGAAGGCCTGTCAAGTGAAAGAAGGATTAGACTTACTCAGCTTGGCCTCAGGGGCAGAATCTGCAGACACATTTACATTTGATGTCAGTAAAAACTTCTAGTTAGGGATGTACAAAAGTGGTAGGGGTTGCCTCTGAAGGTAATGAAACCTCACAGGTTTTCATGGATATTGTAGCAAGAATTCTCAATCAAGTATGGGACTAATCTCTGAGATGCCAAACTCTTAGGCTTCTCTGAGATTTAGGATTGCTTATAGTTTCCAATCTCTTACTTATCCCATGTCTCACCTGTTCTCTCCACAGAAAAACCACATGCCTTGGGAGAAGACCTGGTTGACTCAGCATCTAAAAAATGCTTCATAACATTTTATATCCAAGAACTAGATTAACAGAGCTAAAAATAGGACAGCCTACCCCCTCCAACCCTAAACCCCAGACCTCAGGTCTCACTGTAGACTCCAACTACCACCAATCCCATCTCCAGCAAAAACACCATGGTGGCTCCCTCTAATTCCATAGCTACTCAGGATTTGGCCATAACCCTGTTATGCTTTTAGTCTTTTTCCTTTGGTCCTATGCTTGATACCTGCACATCCTGGACAGGTATTAATGATGTGGACTAACTGGTCTAAAAAGAAATATTTCTAAATCCAGAAATTGCCAACCATTCCAACACAGTCACCATGATGCCATTTCCCTATGTTAGTGGAGGGATGCTTTCCTTATGTCCACTCCCCAAACCCAAATCCAGGACTTATCAGCTGCCACTGCAAGCATGATATCTATTCATCAGTGAGCTAGGTAGTATGCCCAAGTTGAGTTCTACTGGTGTGGTTACTAAATCACCCACTTCCCAATTCCCAGGGCCACGTCCTCCTAATTTCACCAACACATAACAGGAAGGACTGAACAATGGCAAAAGATTCTGATGCCGGGAGACAACTCATGTTTTAAAAAATGAGATCTCAAGGAAAGACTTTCCATTCTATCCAATGCAGGAATAAGGGTAAGGTAAGCAATGAAAAGAACAAAAATATTGAATGGCCAACAAAAATACACATGTGCTTACAATACATATATGCACACAGCATACCCACACTCCTTTCCTCACTAGTAATAGCTTTCATAGCACTGGTTGATCAAAGAGGTAAAAAGTAAAATCCCTTTCCAAGACTGCAGTTGGAAAAGTCTACAGGAGAAAGATGAAGTCATTTAAGCCAAATCCACAGCAACGTGGAAAAATGTGACTTCCAGGAGCAGAGAAGCTAGACAGCGTCTTCTCTACCTTCTCAGGTCAGAAGGGCCGTGTTTCTATAGACTAAGTACCCACTCAAAGAACTGAGCCAGTGACACCCCTTCCAAATCATAGTTTTTCAGCACTGACCTGAGAGAAAACAGAAAATATCTCAAACCACCCACTCCCTGAAGAAAGTAATAAGGAAGTGAGATGTCCCATTGGGCCAGGAAGACATAAAGGTGTGCTCCTCAGGACAAGGACCTCAAGACCTGAGTTTGGTCAAGCTTCAAGATAACTTTTGGCTAAGGGGAGAGGTGAAATAGGGAGGGATCAATAACTGAGATTTGAACTACTTATTAAATTAAACATCCTTTCTACCTGGCTCAAGGCCCAGTCCTCTCTACCTGAACAGAAATAAAAATCTTTGTGAAATCCTATGTTTGTCACTCTTTAGTTCTCCACTCCAATAGCTTTCTGTTTGGACCCTTTAAAAAGAAACTGTCCCCAATTCATCTCAGAGGACTTACCTGTCTATACTGTACAGCCTGAGGAGGGGGCTCTGGGCACCCAAACCTGTCCTAATCCCCTTAAGTACAACCCTCCTTTTCTTGGGACATCAGTTCCTATGAAATGGCAAAAATTATATGCCCTCCCCTCTTAGAAGATAACTATTTACAAAAATAACAGTAAATGCCTTACATGCCAAGTATTAAGAAACTACACGAGTGTATCTATCTCCTTTCTTTCTTGGCATACTAATTAATAGCCCCTCCTCACTGTCAGCCCTCTTCAGAGACATGGAGACTATCTGCATTTATTCCCATGAGAAAAAAATATATATTGGAATCACTCTCCTCATTAGTACTGTTCCTCAGAGACAGGTGTCACTGGAGGTAGGGGATGATCACACCCAGGGGGAGAGTCACTAACAATATCCATGTCACCCTGATGTCAATGACAAACAACAACAAATACAGGAATTCCCTGACAGTGGCTAAAGGAAAGTAAATCTGATGTATCCAATCCACAGTTTCTTGCAGTAACTAAACTCCAGCTCAAGATGTTACATTCCCATTTATTTCACATTCCTTGAATTTCCTAAAAAGTTAAGGGAGGAGGTAAATACTTAATGTTTCCTCCACTTATCACTCCGATTAATCTATCACAAAATAAACCTTATTTCTCATAGGCACATGGCACTCAGGCAAGGACCAAACACAATAAGACAAACATAGATCCTGCCTTGAGAAGCTCATAATTGCTTTATGGGGTTATTATAATCCCAGTATATTTTTCTGAAACTTAACAAAAGTTACAAGTTGTCTGAAGATCTGTCATATTCAGAATATGCATAAGGTCAAAGTTTGGTGTGTACTCTTCGATGTGTCATAAGGCCAGACCAATGCCTGAAGGGTTTCCCACATTCTTTACATGAATAGGGCTTCTCCCCAGTGTGAATTCTCTGATGTTGAGTAAGAGCTGAGCTTTGATTGAAAGCTCTCCCACATTCATTACACTCATAGGGTTTCTCTCCAGTATGAATTCTCTGATGTTGAATAAGGGAAGAGGTCTGATTGAAGGCTTTCCCACATTCTCTACAATGATAGGGTTTATCTCCAGTGTGAATTCTTTGATGCTGAATAAGGTCTGAGCTCCCCCTGAAGGCTTTCCCACATTCACTACACGAATAGGGTTTCTCTCCTGTATGAATTCTTTGATGTTTCCTAAGATCAGAACCACGGCCAAATGCTTTCCCACACTGAGTACATTTGTGGGGTTTCACTCCCATATGACATTTCTGATGTTTTCGAAGTTCTGAGTTCTGCTTGAAGGTTTTCTCACATTCATTACATTCAAAAGGTTTCTTGATAGTCTGATCTCTTTGATGTACACTAGAAGACGAATTCTGGCTAGAGTTTTGGTCATTTGTATTAGATATATGGGGTTTCTCTCCTTTCTGTTGTATAACCAGGTCTGAGCTCAAATGGCAACTACTCAGACTTTCACCATACTCATCACCATTCTCTCCTAGGAGAGTTTTTTCAGAAGGGATGGTCACTAACATAATTCCATCCTGGGAAAGGGATCCGTCTATTTTCTCCATTGTGTCTTCTTGCTTCTCATCTAAAGTGCCTTCACATTCATAGGCTTCTCCAATCGTGGTTCCCTTGGAAATATCCATTGGGAATCTTCCAGATATCCTCTCCTTTGACTCTATTTCTTCAGGAAGTTCCTGCTTTGGAAAGGACCACTTGATACTAGTCTCAAAATCTGAAATGATCAAGAGAAAACACAAATGTCATGAGTGCTGAGAGAAAGAAACCTCCTTAAAGGAATACTGCCAAGGATTCGCATCCCCCCAGCCCTTTATGTACATTACCTGTTGCCGTTATTACAACTCTTTTAATAAGCAGGAACTATGATTTTCCTTATTGTTACATATTAGGAAACTGAGAATAAGAAAGGTGACAAAATCACAGATTTAGAGTGCAATGGGTCCCCAGAAGGCATCTATTCCAACACTCTTTTACAGATTGGGTGGGAGGGCCGCTGACAGAAGACAGGGCAGATGGGGGAAAATGGTAGTCAGAAGTAAAACACTATTGAGGAAGGACAGGATGAAAGGACAGAGAATAGAATTAAACAAGAGAAATAGGATAGAGGGAAATACAATTAGCACTCATAACTGTGAAAAAATTTTTGAAGCAAATTTCTCTAATAAAGGCCTCGTTTCACAAATATATAATTAAGTCAAAATTACAAAAATAAGAACCATCCCCCAATTAATAAATGATCAAAAGATATGAATAGTCAGTTTTCAAATGAAATAATATCAAAACTATCTATAGACATATGAAAAAAATGCTCTAAATCACTAGTGACTGGAGAAATGCAAATTAAAACAATGAGGTACTACACCTCACATTTATTAGGTTGGCTAATAAGACAGAAAAGGAAAATGACAAATGTTGGAGGGGATGTAGGAAAACTGAGACACTAATGCCCTGTTGGTGGAGTTGTGAACCAATTCCACCATTACACAGAGCAATTTGGAACTGCGTCCAAAGGCCTACCAACTGGAGAATTGGATGAACAAGTTGTGACATATGATTATGATGGAATACTACTGTGCTACAAGAAATAATAAGCAAGATGCTCTCAGAAAAACCTGGAAAGACTGACATGAACTGATGCAAAGTGAAATGAGCAGAACCAGGAGAACATTGTATACAGTAACAGCAATACTGTAAGACAAGTAACTACGAATGACTTAGCTATTCTCAACAATACAATGATCCAAGACAACTCTGAAGGACTTATGATGAAAAATGCAATCCATACTCAGAGAAAAGAACTGATAGAGTCTGAATACAGATCAAAGCATATTTTTGTTTACTTTCTTTACTTTTCTTGGGTTTGGGTTTTTTTTTTGGTCTGTTTTCTTTTACAACAAAACTAATATGTAAATGTTTTGCATCATAACACATATATAAGCTACATCAAATTGCTTGTCTTCTCAATGTGGGAGTGGAGAGGGAGGAAGATAATTTGGAACTCAAAATTTTAAAAACAAATGTTGAAAACTGTTTTTACATGTAATTGGGGGAAAATAAAATGCTTAATTAAAAAAATAGGATGGAGGGAAATACACAGTAATCATAACTGTGAATGTGAATGGGATGAACTCACCCATAAAATGGAAACAGATAGCAGAATGTATTACATGATTTAAACAGAAAGGGTGATACCATAAGCAAATTAGGGGAGTAAGGACTAGTTTACCTCTCAGATCCATGGAGAAGGCAAGAATTTATGACCAAACAAGAGACAGAGAAGATATAAAATGCAAAGTTTTGACTACATTAATTTTTTTAAAGTTTGCAAAAAAAAAAATAATGTAGCCAAGATTAAAAGGAAAGCAGAAAACTAGGAGGGCAGGTGTTACAACAAGTTTCTCTGATAAAGGCCTCATTTCTCAAATATATAGGGAACTCAGTCAAATTTAAAAGAATACAAGTCATTCCCCAGTTGATAAAAGGTCAAAGGATATGAACAGGCAGTTTTCAGAAAAAGAAATCAAAGCTATCTGTAGTCTTGAAAAAAATGTTCTAAATTACTATTAAGTACAAAAATGGAAATTAAAACAACTCTGAGGTACTACTTCACACCTATCAGATTGGTTAATATAACAAAAAAGGAAAATGACAAATATTGGAGGGGATATTGGAAAACTGGGACACTAATACACTGTTGGTAGAGTTGTGAACTGATCCAACCACTCTGGAGAGCAATTTGGAACTATGGCCAAAGGGTTATAAAACTGTACATATCCTTTGGCCCAGCAATACCATTTCTAAGTCTGTATCCCAAAAAGTTCAAAGAAAAAAGAAAAGGACTATATGTACAAAAATATTTATAGCAGTTCTTCCATGGTAGCAAAGAAGTGGAAATCGAGAAGATGCCCATCAATTGGGGAATGGCTGAACAAGTTGTGGTATATGACTGTGATAGAAAATTATTGTGCTATAAGAAATGAAAAGCAGAATAGTTTCATAAAAACCTGGAAAAACTTACATAAACTGATGCAAAGTGAAGTGAGCAGAAAAAGGAGAACATTGGACAGGAACAGCAATACTGTATGATGATCAACCGTGAATGGCTTAACTATTCTCAGCAATACAATGAGTCAAAACTATTCCAAATGACTTATGATGAAAAACGCTACGTATGAAAAATGCCATGTCCAGAGAAAGAAGCGATGGAATCTAAATGCAAATGCTTTTTCTTTACTTTATTTTTCTTCAGGATTTGTCTGTGTTTTCTTTTACAACATTACTAATATGGAAATGTTCTGCATGACGACATATGTATAACCTATATCAAATTGCTTGTCTTCTCAATGAGAGGGGAGACAAGGGAGGAAGGGAGAGAATTTGGAATTCAAATTTTTTTTTAAAAGAATGTAAAAAACTTTTTTACATGTAATTGGAAAAAAACTAAATATTATGGTAAAAAAGGGGGGGGGATATGCCTGATTCCTATAAATCTAATCAAAAGGGCTTTAAGTAAAGAAGGGAGAGAGAAAAACTGTTTATTACCACCAAAAGAGAGAGACTCAGTGGTTAACTACAATGTAGGAAGGAGGAGAAATGCCCAGAATGTCACCCCTGCAGTGGCTACACTCTCCTCCTGTAACAAGCAGTGATGGTTTTGGTTCTGGGCTAGCTAAAGCAAGGACTGCCCTATCACAGTCACCTGAAATCCACATAGCCCTCCCTTAAGTCCCCATCTCTGTTTGTCAGCATCTTATCTATCCTTCAAGGCTCAGCTCAAATGCTTCCTCCATCATGATGCCTCCCTGATTCCATGCTCTAGAGATCATCTCTCCCTCCTCTGAACCCCCACAGCACTTGGTTTACACTCTTCCAAGCCAAACAACATGGACTAGCAGATGTGGGAGAGGCCAGATGACTGAGGGCCATCTAGTACAACTTCTTTCTGAAATAATGCAATCCCTGCATTCCATCCCCCTTTCCTATGGCTTTGCCCAGGCTGCCCTCCAGGCTTGGAATGCCTCTTCCTTTCTACATCTTACAATCTCCAACTTCCTTCAATTCCACCTCCAACACTAAGCCCTTCCTGCTATCCCCAGTACCAGCTGTTGCTTCCCTCCTGGAATTTTCTCGTATTTACTTTTCTGGGTACAAATTGGATCCTCTCAGTAGAACGTAAGCTTCTTGAGGGTTGGGGTTATTATGCTCTATTTCAAGTACAGAGCCTTATATAAATATTCTTGAAGTTAGCTGAACTGAATTAAATTCTCTCCAACAAACATTTGTCCAATCTCTGCTTAAAGTACTCCAATAACTACCATCTTACTGTCCTCTCAGGTCATTCATTCCAAAGCTGGACAGCAGTCATCATTAGGAATTTCTTCCCTATAATCAGCCTAAAAATGAAGCCTCTCCAAAACTTCCACTCATTGCCTACAGTTCTGTACTCTGGGGCTTTGATAAAATTTAACCTAATTCCTCTTCCATATAAGAAGCTTTTAGATATTTAAAGACAGTGGCCATGTCTCCCTAGGTGTCTTCTTCTCCAGACTAAACACTCCAGGTTCTTTTGACTGATTTCTCCTGAGGCATGGTTGTGAGTCCATTCAGCATCCTGATCACTTTTTTTAGACTTGCTCTAGCTTGTAAATAGCCTTCTTAAAATATGGCAGCCAGAAACGAACACAGTACTCCATCCAGATGTGGCCTGACCTGGACAGACTAGAGTGAGGCTGTGACATCTCTCATTCTGGTCTCTAGACTTACATTAATTCATGAAGTGTGGCTTTTCCTTCCCGTGCTATCATAGGCAAAAAATTGGTAGCAGGTTCCTCATGATCTTTGCTTAACGAATGCCAATCAGCATCTCTCCATGGGAGGGATGGTTTTTTCTGGCACCATCTCCCCCAAAGGAGGTAGTTACCTTCCAAGACAAAGGATGGTGTTCTTCTGAAACAGATTTGCCAACGGGAGAGGGAGGACTATGGAAATTTGCCCTGCTGAACTCAAATCCATTTTCCCATGGAGGAAAGAAAGGATCTTTCAAATCCCCTTGGGTTATACTAATTCAGTATTTTAAGGATGAAGTTATTTCTGGCCGTAATGAATTCCTATAAGCAGGAGGTACCCTGCAGCCCCTTCCTCCGTGAGAAAGCTATCTGGCCATTCTTGGGAGGAATGAACCAGAAACAGTAGAAAAGACTGGGCCCAAGAACTTGGAAAGAGGAAGAATGCTAGAAAAAATGAAGGGCACTTTGTTGGTAGGCTTAAGTTTCACAGGCCAGTCCTGCTAGACTGCTATCTGACTTTTGGTTACTTTGCTCACAATTAACCTAAGCTGCTAGTAGGTCGAGGGT